GACTTTGTGGTTCCTAACACATTGAACAGTACTAGCATACTGCCAGTTTTCTATAACTTTTTAAGCAGGGGAAAAGCTGACACACATGAAAACAGCTTTTGACATTGCCATGATGTGATCTCATCTTGCGCTGCAGTCCCCATAGAACAGTTCTGTTTTGCTTTGCTCTGGAAGAAGCCAAACCTCTTTTGAGATGAGGACACTTGGAGACAGAAATAAGCAAAATACAGTGTGCATAGGGATAAAAGCTTTGTTTTTGATGTTCTCCCTTGTAGTAGTAGGAGTTGTAGTAGTAGTAGTCTTCCCCTCTTTACCTTACCCCTGAAATTATTTTGTGGTCTGTGAACTTTCCATTTTCTATTTTTGCCACATCCTTACATTTCGAAAGAACATCACTCCTTTTTTCCAAACTCTTTGTTGAGAAGAACAGAAGTATTTTGGGGACTCAAGTTGCCAGTTGTGGCAATTTTGTGAGATATCTATAGATGATTGCATTACATTCTTTTTATTTTAAAAAGTCCTTAGCATGGTGACATACTGCAAATGTTTCCACAATCTCTTTGGAAACTTTTTTCCTAGTAGTAGAGAAAGCAGCTCTCATTTTTTATTTGTATTTAAGTTAATTTATTGTATCCTTCTTCAGTTTTATTTTTCCTCCCCAAAATTTGACTAGATCCCAAGGCCAGGACCATGAGTTCTGGAAGTCATTAATTCATGGGATTTACTCTTAATATAAAAGAATTTCAGTAAGAATTTGTTTTCTAAATATGATTTCTGATTGACTCTGGCAGAAATTAAAGCAGAGAGGTGGGTCTTTCAATGCCAAAATTCCTTGAGCAAGTTTTTTTTGAGATGTTATGTAGGGTGATGAATCACCCAGGGATGAGAGCTGTTGGTATTAAGCTTCCATGCTGGAACCTTCCACAGTATTCAGTGCATAGTAGTGCTAGAATAGAAATTGATCACAGGTTCCCTATAATTTCTTTTTAAAGGCACGAGGAGTGGTGAGAATCTCCCCAGGATCTCTGTCAATGTAAACCAACACTTTGTTAAGGATCCTGCTTGTTGGGCATAACAGACAAAGTATAATTCAGTTCTTACATTCTGAAACCTTTTTATGTTTGTTCTTCCATTGAATGGACATCCCACATGAAAACAACCCCCATGAGTTTATGGATTGAAAGATGTTTGACAAAAGAAAAAGAAATGTTGGTAAAAACAGGGAGGGAAGAGGAGAAACCCGCTCTGGTGCAAAATCTAAAGTAAAAGTTCTTAATAAAAATCAGCTGGAAGTATTTTAGGAAAGTGTATAATAGAGTTAGTATTTCAGAAGAACTGGTGGAAGGAACATCCATGCTATGATTGTTATTCAACTGCAGTTTACTAGAATGGCTGTTATATGAGAATTCATGGAAGAGCACGGTTCTTTACTTTTTTTCTAGAGGTGAAATGGGGAGTCTTGAACATGAAAGTTCAGATCTTCCAAGTGTGTTGTTTTGGAGGCTTTAGATTTCTGGATAGTGGGGTCTGCCCTAAAGACTATGGACTCAATACATGGTTTGTGTAGGTAGAGAGCTACTAGGTCAAAGTGTAATTTTTTTTAATGTAGATGGTCACATCATCTCATTTGAGGTTGAGCAGTAGCTATTGTTCTGTTCCTTCTGGTCGGTCTGTTAGAACACATTGTTCTTATAGCCTTATGGCATGGGGAAGTTTCTGGTTGATATGTCTGGCACTGTTTTCAAGGCTTTCTTGTTTTGTAGAATATAAATTAGCTTGGATAATAGACATGACAAGTTCTTAACTTTCAATATTTAATTAATCTTTAGTGGTATAGTTTTAAACGTGTTTTATATCTTTTTCTGATAAACCACTCATAATACAATTTGTGTCACATCGTATTGAACAAAGTTAACAAAAAGCAGCAGTTGGTCCAAAGGAATGCGTTGTCAACACACTGAAATTAAAATACGGTACATGACATAGTACAATACTTGTGTTGACTTTTTTATAAATTGAATTTGCCATTGTTTTTGTTCAGCCACAAATAAATGGTCAGAACATTTTAAATTACTTGATTAACAAACATTGCTAGCTTCTAGATAGGGATAGTTGCATCTCTCTTATAGTTCAAAAAGGAAAATGGTTTTGGGAGCTATTTTTGTATCCTAGATAAGCCTCAATAGTCCCTTCTGCGTATAGTAAGCATTCAGGTTGCAAGAAACAAATGTTCTGCCTCATCAGTCCTTTCTAGCTTTGCTTTTCTGGTTAGCAGGTGCTTTTGCATCCTCTTGAGATAAGCTTTGCTGTTGTGGGAAGCACTGTGACTCTTCCTAAGTGGCCTGCTCAAATTAGATGTGGGAGAAAATGAGAGATAAGGGAACTGCTTACTACCAGGGTTAATGCATCCCAAGGGAAAGATGTGAACTCCAGTGGGAGCTCTGCTCCTTTCCAAGAAGACAGGGTCAGCCCTTTCCAAAATTAGGATGCTGTCAACAAGTGCTTTATCAATGGGAAAATACTGTTTGTTTCCAGTTCAATATATAATATTCTTCTCCCATAATGTAGATATTGTATCCTAAAAAGGCAACTAGACAAACATTCATATTGACTTGATTATAATGATAATAACACCAATACTTCTGTTGCAGAGTATTGCCTCCTGATCAGTTTTCATCTGTGATTGGCAAGATGACTAGCAAAAGTTAAAACAAACTTTTTAAGGTTAAAAGGAATGTTTTTATCATTTTTCAGGGTTGCACATCGTATTTATAATTCTCTAACATAAAGGAAAAATAATATGTTGCTCTTACAGTTTTGTTTTTCCAAACCTACTTTTACGTTCCTGATCTTTCTTTCCCCATCTTAAATTTTTAAATGTAATGCCAAGCTTGTAATGGCCTCCTGAACCCAGGGCTTGATTTGGGTTCTCAGCTGATTATTTTTAAATTGTATATATGGCAATTATATACATTTTACTGAATGCAATCCCACTGAATGCAATGAGACATATTTATGAGTAGAAATACATGTATTCCTGTTGGAAAAACTGGCGAGGAAATTAGACTGATATCATAGAATCATAGAGTTGGAAGAAACCACGTGGGCCATTTAGTCCAACTCCCTGCCATGCAGGAATCTTCTGCATTATGGAAATTATGTATGTAAAACTGGAATTGTTGTCAAAAACAGTATGTAAAAGTAATTAAATATAACATTAAAAGAAGCTGCAGAAATTATTAGCTTTCTTGGATAAAAGGTTTTGTTTCTTTTTATTACATAGTCAAGGAAAGTGACAGTAACAGACCATTCTGTGTATATTGCTTTCACATCACCGATCCTAACTCTGAGTGTTTTAAAACTGCAGGGATAGTTCTAAAGGAAGACAGGAGTTCTGTTACCAAATCTTAACAATGGTTGAGCGTTAATATAGTTGCAGTTTTGCTGCAAACTCCAAAATATTATTTAGTTTTTTGGCATCTTGGGTCTCTTATTTTTGATTATCAGTTAAACAGCAGGCTTTCTAGCTTGTAGGCTTTGTGTGAGGTTTGGTAGGATAAAAGCCAGAGTCTTGTAGTAGTTAGAGCATCGGACTACAAATCTGCAGTCCAGGGTGTGAATCCTCATTCAACCATGGAAACCTTCTGGATGGACAAATCACTTTCTCAACCTCAAAATAAGACAATGGCAAAATCCCTCTGAACAAAACCTACCAAGTAAATCCTGTGATGGGTTCATTTTAGGGTCATCATATGTCCGAAATTATTTGGAAGCATACAATAACAATAATAGAAAGGATAACAGTACTTTTCTTCTCTATAGCAAGGCAAAATAATGAAACTAGGCCTTTTAAAAAGAAGCAGCCCCTTTCCCAATAGCTTTGCATTTCAGCATTTTGCTTTTTAACCTAAGGTGCTTGTAACATCAGTAGCAATTCCTGCTGTCCCTTTATACAGTGCTAAAAAGTTAATCCTGATGTTGTGGTATAAACTGTGGATGTATGGTGGGGAGCATTTTGACACCACTAATCTGTTGCTTTCAACTCCTCCTATTGCCCAGCCATTAATCCATTCAGAGTGTTAGAAACATAGCAAAGGAGCCAGAAGAGTTGTATATTCACTGACACTGTTGAAAGTAGTACCAGCACCTGTTTCTGTTGACTAAGAGATTATCGCGCTTCCACATTCATTAGCAGGGTTAGAGGGTACAATTGGAAAGATACCTAATGCCCGCTGACAGGCAGCAGGTGCAGCTACAGATTTTCTTGTAGGAGCTGAAATTTTTGACAGGTGAAATTTTGAAAGCTACTGTTAATGGAGATCTTAAACTTTTTTTGTTTTGTACTTTCCCGTTATTTATTTTCAATCATTAGTAGACATTGCCTTTCTGAATTTTCTCTTCTCCATTTTCTCTTTCAAATCTACAGAATATTTAAAAATACAGTATTTTATTGTATAATAGTCACACTTCCTTTTTTTTCCTTAAAAAAGGGGGGATGCGCCTATTTTGCTGTGAAAACAGTGCAGTCAAGCAGGCGAGTGAGGCTTCACTTGCCTGTGTGCCTGAACCCTTTGGAACCATGAAGGTTTCTTCAGATGCCTCCATAGCTGCAAAGGGCAGGCACCCTTCATTCATTCGCCCAGGCAGATGTACAAGTGAGCGAATAAAGGGTGCAACTATCATATAAGAAATATACTAAGCTCAGCACCCCAGAATGGGGGTGCAACTTGTAAGTGGTGGTGACTATTATGCAATGGAATACGGTAATCTTTTTCAGAAATGTGTCAACTTACTTAGTGTCCTTTTTTAATTCATACAAATACAGTTGAATTTTCTAAACTCAGATTCATACATATTATTCTTCTGCCTCTCGCCTCACATTAGATTTATAGGTGGAAAGACATTGGTGATTTCCTTCTTTTTCTTCTCATTATTTGTTACAGTTAAGTAAATGTCTGATTTGTGTTTCAGGCTGTTTGACTTCTCTTCTCTCACTTTAGGTAATTCAGCCCCTTTTAGATCTTGATCAGAATCGCAGCAAGTTGAAGTTGTATATTGGACATTTGACAGCCCTGTGCCATGACCGGGACCCCCTGATTCTTCACGGACTCACGCCGCCTGCTTCCTATAACCTGGATGATGATCATGCAGCTTGGGAGAAAGAGCTGCAGAAGATGACGCTGGAGCAGGTTAGAATCTTCTGACCATTTCAGTGATGTGCTTAAAATGAATATCATGCAAAATTTTAGAGCTTTTCTGAAATGGCTTATTACATCTGAGGGACCAAACTCCTCCCTAAACTAACAGGCTAAATTTTGCTTCTGAATAGTAACTGCTTATTATTTGGTATGGGAGGCATGATCTGCAATAAAATGTTGTGACATGACCTCAGCCTTCAACAAGAGTGCTCCTGTTCAAACTTTCAGCCAACATTCTGTGGCTCCTCATAACCACTAAGCATCCTTAGTCCTCCTGGGGCTAATGGAAGAGGTTACTCTTTTTTCTTTTTAAAGGTTTTTCTATATTCCTGCAAATCCCAAATTCATTAATAATCACCTTCCTTCTCAGTATTCCATTTTGACTCCAATCACATTGAACTTGAGCTTCATTATGATGTGTTCTTCTGATCAGTGGCTATGTAAACTGATTAAAACAGTGGAAAGTTAGCCATTGTTTCATAAGGAAATACTGTTCTAATTGATTCTCAGTGGACAAAGGTTTCAAAACATTGACATCATATAATTATGAATGTACACAACTAGATTATTCATTTATCGCTCAATGTATTCCTTATCTGAAATGCTTGGATTTTGGATTTTTTTTTCCTTTCGGAATACCTATTTTTGCATATACGTGCAAAATCTTGGAGAGGGGACTCAAATCTAAGCAAGAAAATGATTTTTGTTTCATATGTATCTTCTCTACACAGCTGAAAGTAAATGTATGTACTATTTTAATACATTTAGCATTAAATAAAATGTGTGTACATTGAACCATCAGAAAACAAAGGTTTGTGGACAGTTTGGGATTTTGGAGGATTTGGAAATTTTGACTAAGTGATACTCAGTCTTTATTAGGAAGTAAAACAATAGAAGTAGAGGATAGAATAAATAGATATGTAGACAGTAACCAGAAGATTGATTGACCTTGCATACTTCTCCATCTCTGAACACTGGAAAACGTATTTAGCTGGAACAGTCAACTATTGCCTGCTTTTATACTTATGGTTATTGTCTCTCACCAGTCCTCTTCATCTAGATGGCTATGAGAGAACTGGAGGCTTTTATTTCCATTTTTTAATAACAATTTTTCAGCTGTACATTCAAACTCTCGACTGTGGCTGATTCTTACTGTGGTTTAGGGAAACCAGCCAATTCCAAAAGCAACAATTTGAAGTTCATTTGTTTACATAGATCAGTATATCTCAAGCTGACTAGAGATGTGTTTGTTTTTTTTTTTACAGTGTACCAAGGGCTGATACTGTATTTTTGCAGATTGACTGCAATTGTTTTTTTTCCTTTTATGGATATTTGCCAGGGACCAGGAGCTGATGACTTAGGGGCCTCCACTAGTCTGTGGTAGTTGTCCAGCCTCTTTTTGAGGACTTCTAGCCTGTTTAGGCAATTGGTTCTGTTCCTGGACTGTCAAAACGTTCTTCCCAACATTCAGTAACTTCAAACCATTAGATTTGGCCTCCTCTCTGGGGTGGTATAAAACATGCCTGCTCTCTCTTGTGACAGCCTTACGGTATTTAAAGGGTACAATTTTGTCACCATTCAGTCTTCACTGAGGTGAACATGCCTATCTCAACCTTTCCTTATCTATTTTGTTCTCCATGCCTCTTATTTTTTTTGCCCTTCTGTAAACCTGCTCCAATGTGCCTATATCCTTCTTAAAATGAAATGTCCAGAATTGAATACAATACACCTGATAAGCCTGACCAATGCCGAATATACAGTACTGGAACTATTACTCTTACTTGGAAACTGCTTCTGTTAATGCAGGCTAAAGTAGTATTTGTCTTCTTTGTTGCAACTTTGCATGGCCACATATGTTAAATTTATGCTCAACAATAATCCCAAAGTCCTTTTCACATCTACTACTGCTGAGCCATGTATCCTGATCCCACATCTGTGCATTTGGTTTTTTGACCCAAATATAGAATTTTGCATTTGTTTCTGTTGAATTTTTTTTTTTAGATTTCTGCCTCATTTCTAGTTTATCTGGTTTTAAACTAACACAAATAGTTAAGGCTAGCTAGCCAAAATGTGAGCAGTAGTGAGCAACTGATAAGGCAAAGCTTTTTTCATGTAAAGCTAACCATAGTTTAGTTTACATTGAAAAAAGTGAACATATGAACTGCACTCCACTGTGCAGCCCCCGGTGGCGCAGTGGGTTAAACCCCTGTGCCGGCAGGACTGAAGACCGACAGGTCGGAGGTTCAAATCTGGAGAGAGCGCGGATGAGCTCCCTCTATCAGCTCCAGCTCTCCATATGTACTTCTGTTAGAAATTTCCACTGACAAGACCAGGCTTACAATAATCTTATATCTGCAGCCTGAAATACTTTTGTTTAAAATGTGCTCTAATATTGTTTGTTATCTTGTAGCTGGTGTTTGGTGTTTTGACCCCAGTGTTATTCTGTCATGTGCAATGATAATTATAAAGGTCACAATCCAGGAAAGATGTGGCACACTTAATGTTTATTAGTGGGCTTAGGAACAACTGATTTCATATTGATTAGACTAGGGCCAAAGTGGCACAATTTCATAATTGTTTTATCGATTTTTTAAGGAGGTCATTTGTTGTTGTTGAAATATGGTCAGAAATCATAAACATAGGTATGCATACATTGTACTTTGGTGTCATTTGTACCTGGCTGATCATATCTGGAAGGATTTAGCCTGGAATTTTGCATTTTCTTATGTAAGTTGCTCCATATTTTTTAAAAAACAAACACTTTTTCAGATCGTATGCTGCATATCTAGAGATACCAGCTTCTAATGATGTGTAAAAAAATAATGCCGGTTATTTTAAAAATTATTTTATTGTGTTTACTTTCTTCCAGTTCCTGGTAGTTGGTGAAGCACTAAGAATTTAGCTCCTGAGGGAACAAAATTCTTAATTTTTCAGTTTCCTCTAACAAGTTCTAAACATAATAGTCAGTTACACTGGGATCCTTTTTTCTTTAACTCATTACACCAAAGCTTCCAACCTGCTTTCATATCACTTCAGAGTTACTGTTTACGGAAAAGAATAATTATTCTAGCCCCTCATTTTTCCCTACCAGGACAGGAAGTAGATTAAGTGGATAGCCAGGAGCACAAAATGTACTGTAATGTCTATTACCTTAAGTCGTAACAGGATCGTGTGTGTGTATGTGTGTTAAAGAAAACCTTATACTGTTGGTCATTGTGTGCAGCTGCTAATATAGGTCAGCAAGTAAGTTTGGACCACACTCGGTGGGGTATAACTATATGTGTTTTAGAATACAGTTTAGCTTTTGCTCTGAGGAGCCTTTGCTCAGCTATTTGTACTGCTCGCTCATTTGAATGAAGATGAAGAAGCCTTATTCTTTATTACTTACAAGGACTATGTAAGTTTGTTGCACTGTTTGATTTTGTTTGCAACACTGTAGGTTTATGTTTTAACACTGCTGATAAGAGTAAAGTTTTTCTGTTCTTTTTCCTCTTGCCTGTGTGCAATGTTATTGTGTCTTCTGCACTGGACCCGACTGAAACCCACTATTCGCAACAATACCTGTGCTGTATGTTTCCTTATCACACAAATTCAACTATACATACATACATACATAGAAGTACTTGCATAATTTGAACAAACATCCATGTGTCCCCTTTCTCATATTTATTTTTGATCACTTATTTTCCTTAGGTCCCAATTTCTTATTTCATAATTATTGTACAATAAAAATGTTGACTTTTAGGACAACTTTCTTTTCCACTAAAATCCATTTCTATTATAATCCAAATATCCCATCCTTTCTTCAAGCTGGGTAAATAGTAATTCCCACCATCGTTCTATCTTTCCATGGTGGTGGGATTGTGGACTCTTGTGAGGCAAGACTCTAAGCTGATGGTATTGGTGCTGGTGATAGCAATTCTGCTGACAGGCTCTCCCATGTCAGGTGGGCTTTTGCTGAAGAGCCATACTAAATGTGCAAAATAGCTCTGGATGGCAGCAGGAGTGGGAGATTCCACTGGCGGAGAAGCTCTCAGACACAGCGGCACTGGCACCATAGCTAAGTGTTCAGAAACTTCAGCTGGTCCAAGAGTTGCAGCCAGGTTGCTGACTGGGGCTGGCTACAGGGAGCAGACAACCCCGTTGTTGCAGCAACTACTGGCTGCCAGCTTGTTTCCAAGCACAATTCAAAGTGCAGGTTATTACCTAGACAGCTCAGGTCCAGGCTATTTGGCAATTTATATCTGGGGAGCACATTCCATGTTAAGTCACAGTTCCATAACCAAACATAGCAATAACAATAGTAGCTAATACATATATTGTTCTATATGAATATCAATATGTAGTGCTTAAAAATTAGAATCATTAATACAGCTGTTGTATATCAAGGTGCTTCATAGCTCTGTTATTCACCTTTGGAAAGGTTCTATGCATTGGAAAATTTTCCAAGAATATCTAGATATATTTGTCTGTATCCTGCTAGGGAGTGTTGCTTGGAAAGGTTCCACAGATCCTCTTTATAAGTAAGGGAAACCACATGTGGTTTGGCTTGTTTATTTCCATTTATTAGCATCTGTGGTTTGTGTGAAATTATATCTGGTTGAAACGTCTTGTATGCTCATCTTACAAACATTCAGAAGTTAAACAACTGCCTTCCCAATTTGTAATTAATCAACAGAATCATAATCTTTTTCTTAAAATGAAGTAAAAGTAGTGTATCCTCTTTCATAATAATGAAAAATCAGATTTCACTCATACAGATCTTTTCTGGAATGGAAGTACTTGATCAGATGAATGCCGAAAAAGTAAAATAATTTTGAGTTACTTTAATTGTAATACCATTCTTAAGTTAATTACAGCAACTGACATGAAGTACATATATGGAACTCATTTGGAAATTAAGGTGAACATGTAGGGGTCCTCATAAAAACAAGTACGGCATGTACATATATGTAACTCATTTGGAAATTAAGGTGAACATGCAGAGATCCTCATAAAAACAATAATAGTACAAATACTGAATTTTATTCTATGTTCTGGGATGGGCAAAGTGTTAATGTGCATGTGGAAGAGGAAGCATCCATCAAAAGGTGGTAAAAACAGTGTGAGATGTTTTGGATGTAAGGTGAACACACTGAAAATTGATGCTTAACACTTTGCAAGGAATGGAAGAGAATGGAGAACTGAGGTGTCATTTCCCTTTCCCTGTGTTAGACAGCTTTAGCACTACGGCTTTTTCCTGTGTATATAAGCCAGCATTCATATATACGTTCTTCATTTCTTTCCGATGGAGCAGGGGTTTCTTTGGCAGGAATAAGAATTGTTAAAGAAAGATCTGAAGAAAATTAAATAAAAGGAGAAATGACATGAGGCTGTCGTTTGGACTACAGGTCATGCATACTTAAAGTTCATAATAGGCAACTAGAGTATTGTGCGCACAAAATGCCCTGTCTTTAAAACAAACCTAGGGGAATGGAGTCAGGCTGATATTGCAGATTTGTGTCTAAAAATACCAGTGAGCACTACCATAGACAGTAAGCATCCAAACACATTGCTAAGTTAGTTTATATCAGCATTCAAAGAAATCTTGTAGTATCTTTGAGACTAACTGGGAGAAAGAAGTCTGGATGAGAAGCAGTTGCCCTCTGAACTCATGATAAAAAACTAGTGAGAATTAGTTGTTTCTGAACTGTCAGGATATTTTTCTGTGCATCATCAGAAGCTGGTATCTCTAGATCTGCAACATACTTTCTGAAAAAAATAATGTTTGTTTGGTTTGTTTTTTTCAATTGTTGGGCAACCATACATAGTGAAATGCTATGTTCCAGGCTAGATCGGGCATAGGCAAACTTTGACCTTATTTTGAACTTTAACTCCCACAATTCTTTCCAGCTGTTAGGAATTGTGGGAATTGTAGTCCAAAACACCTGGAGGGCCGAAGTTTGCCCATGCCTGGGCTAGATCCTTCCAGATATGATCAGTCATGATATTTGAGCCACTTAATGTTTCTCCCTTTTATGTATGAATGATACACATCTGCAAGTTGATATGAGAATGATATATGTAGGGACACCATTGGCTGCTGCTCCCTCCTCGTGGTACATTTGGAGACAAATTTGTATGAAATTGTTCTTTTCTCTTTTTTATGGTAAAGCAGCATTCAGGCTCTGGGCTGAATTCTATATGTTTTTTTAATACATCAGTATGTGCTGATGTGATTTTCTATCTTTTGTTTTCTCACAGCTTCAAGAGGAGCTGGAAAAAGGCGAGCGGGACAGCGCAGAGCTACAGGAATTTGCCAATGCCATTCTACAGCAGATAGCTGATCACTGCCCTGACATCCTGGAGCAAGTTGTCAATGCACTTGAGGAGTCCTCATGACCTAAATCTGTGCTATCTCCCTGACAGTAGCATGCCCAGGGACAAGCCCAATCTACCCAAGGAGCTTGGATTGGAGATGAAAGGCAGGGGAGAGAAGACAAAACTTTTGGTGCACCTTTTTATATAAAGAAACAAATGAACCTAAACTGGTATCTCACCTTTTCCAGTCTATAAATATGGAATTATGTCTGCATTCATATTCTCACTGCCTATCTTTTGGAATATGCCTCCCAGTTACCTTTCCTGTTGGCTTTGGGATATGTCTGCTTAGAAATCCGAGTCCAAGAAGCATAGAAATGGCAATATATTGGAGACAACTTGTTCTAGTGATTCTTAAAATGGTAGGAGCACTTGTCTTCATTTTATTTTCCAATTAGTAAATAAATCTTTATGCGTTTATAGAGGAGGCTGAATGTGGTCCTGAAAGTGAACCAAAGTGAAAAACACTTTTGCTAACTCAGAATTAGCAGTCTGTGTCTGCACAGGGGCATAACCCTGAAAGTGGACATTGTTACAAAGAGAGGTGAGGGGTATCCCTTTTTCTCATTAACAGATATCAGTTGAGGGAGAATTGAAAACATTTTAATGTGTTCTCTTTTATTCTGCCTATTGTGCACGTCATGCTTGTTTACCAAATGGACTGATGAAATGAGGATGGCTTTAGTAGGTTTTCTTGGTTCTGAGAGAGCTTTACATACTTTATCTACATATCTCTGCATTCTTATTTGAACCGTGCTCAATTCATGCTTAGCTTCTCTGTTTTTGAGTTCTTAGAGGATTACTCCAGAAGCTAACAGAATATTGGTCTTGTCTGTTGCTGTACTTTACTTATCATCTGCCAGTAATGTTTGAGGCCAAAATAGCTTCTCTAGACAACACTTTGTTGACATATCCAAATCACAGAACGAATAGGAATCTGAATAATCAGTTGTTTTGCACAATTTGTGAAACTATCGTTTTGTTTTGGCAATATTGATATTACACATGGTATCATTCTTCAGGCATTTACCAGATATCATTTTATATCTGTGACATTATCACACTTCCTTGGAGGAGGTCTTTTTTATTTTTATTTTTTCAGATTTCAGGGCTAACAGGAACCTTTAGAGCAGATAACAGAAATGGAAATTAGGATTCCAAATTTACTGCAGTAAGCAGAAGGATCACATGTTCTTAATTTCCTTTTCTAACGGTTTTGTTACTGAAGTGACTATTCTAATCATTTTTCCCAAGTCAAACAATTTGGTTGGGGTTTATTTTGCACATTAAGAGCTTTGCATTTGAATGTCCTCATTTCTTATCCCTAAATTTTATATTATCAGACAGACTTCCTTTTAAGTCTCTTTATTTCATGTTTCAGATACTACACTATATCCTTCATCACATGTCACTCAGACCAGTGCCATTTCATGTCAATGGATGCGGGAGACTGGTAATTTTTAATCTCTTGTGTGCAAAGAACTAGGATCATATTTATGGCCATTAGTTACATTTTTCTTCATTACCTGGAAAATCTAGAGACGAGCACTGGTCCATGGACCACAACTTTTAGTAGCACTGACAAAGGCAATATGGAAGGACTATTTTCTACTTCAAACTTTCTTTCCTTCATTTCTTCCTTCAGATCCACCAGTTGTGATATCACTGATATCTAAAAAGCAAGGAAGGGGTCCCAGCTAAACAAGAAGAACTTCATTAATATCTTTTAAGTAGCATATGCCATTGAGACAAAAAAAAAAAAGGCAGTAGCGCATCCTGTGCCACATGCTTAGATTCTTCCTTCTGTTAGAGGTGCACTGGAGATAGGAGATAGAACATAAATAATCTGAATGGTGAACATAGTTTTTCTATGGGCTTCCTCCTCAAAGGTTCACACTTCATCTTAGTTTGCACCTTCATAACTGGAAATGTACAATGGTGGTTTTAGAGCAGATGGTAATAACAGCCTTTTCATCATTAAGGAGGGGGAGTTGATTGTTCTCAAGGTTGAAATTGCCTTTACCGGAAGGCATGCAGACAATGACTGTACATAGCATTGAGCCATGCCTCATACCAGAGCCGCACCTTTGGCCCTATTGTTTGAGTCAGCACATTTTGATAGGAGCTGCTGTTTTGAAATTTCCCTTCTAGCTTTTTCTCCTTCATCCCTAATTACTCAGTGTAGGAATTTAATGCTGCCTGTAAAACCCTCTCAACCTTCAGGGCTAACATCTTCCCACCATCACCACTCCCTGGCTATCCTATTAAGTTATATGGTCTGGTCTTCAGTTGCCCTTGTTCCCTGCTATAAAACAATCCACTCTCTCTGTGGGAGAAGCTGTGGAATTTTTCTTATCTGTGGTTGAAATAACTGCTGCTTGTAAAGCTCTTACTGAGATGTTCCTTGATAGAGGGGTTTGTTTTGTTTTGTTTTGTTTGGACCTGGGCTTGACTGAAAGAGGAGGGGAGCTATTCAGAGATGGTCACTTGTGTTTGCTACGTCACCCCTTGTGCTTATCACACCACCTATCAGTTACAGTTCTCCATGAGAGTATATCTGGAGCCTTTCAGCCAGCTGCCACCATGTGGCTATGCTCCTGCAGAAATGGGTCTCTGATAGCAGGGGGATGACATTCCCAGTACATTGTGCACAGAGCCCACAAATCATGACATTGTGATAAAACCCATGCTTTATACTCTCCTCCACTCACACCTTGTTCTCCAGGAGAGGAGTGGCCTTTTTTAGTAGAGCCCATTCCCAAGCTGGCCATTTACTCTTTATTATCTGCCAGAACATCTTCTGTTCTAACCCACTCACAAATCTGGAATGTGTCTCACTTTCAGTTCTTCTCTGTTTCCCTCACCACACACTTTTCTGTCCAGTTTCATGGGCTTAGGGCCCTGCCACACTTAGGGCTGAGCCCATGGAACTACACAGAAAAACCGTAAGTAAATACATTTAAAACAAGCAACTGCACAAAACAAGATTTTATTTCAGAACAGTGCTCTGGCTTTATCATCAGCGTACTATTGCAGACAAAGTTCTTCATCAATGTTTGGTTAGAGATCCTGTCAAACTTCATTTCTAGGAATTGTGGAGATTTAAATGCAAAGTATTTAGTGCTGGTCATGGCCTGTTTTGTTGTCTTTAACATTAGACTAATACAGCTTTAGACTAGTTACATTGCAAGAGAGATTGCTGGAAAAAATTGTCTTCTTTACCTTCCCTGTTCTTTAGTTCAGTTTTCAAAAATAGCCTCTTATCAGTGAATTCGAAATTCTCAGTTGTTATGAACATTAGTCACATTAGAGTTTCATTTGCTGAATTATAATAAGGCTTGGCTGTAGTTAAGGAATGCCTTATTATTATTTCAAGTCACAAAAAAGCTAAATTGTAATGCCGTAGAAGGTGCTTATAAACTTCATGGACTTTTTATACAGGAATCAGTGGGAGAATTTTTCTTTATTTGATCCAGTTTTTAAAATCTCATTGAAAAATAGAAATAGTTTATTGACATGCTATCTGAAGTTCCTAATTTGGTGATTTAATGTTTACCAGGAATCCATATACTCATTCTAATCCTGTCAAATCCAGTTATTATTGTTGTGTGCCTTCAAGTTGTTTACGACTTCTGGAGACCCTAAGGCGAACCATGGGGTTATCTTGAACAGATTTATTCAGAGGAAGTTTTCTTAGGCTAAGCAAATGTGACTTGGTCACCCAGTAGGTCTCTGTGGCCAAACAGGGATCCCAACCCTAGTCTCCAGTGTCATAATCCAATACTCAAACCATTACTCCTTCATCTAAAGTCATTAAATGTGAATCTCAAAATTGACACAAGTCTATGTTCAAGAAAAACATTAGTAAGAGCCATGTTTGGATGTGCATTGGGTCTTTTATAGTGGCTGCCTTTGGCCACTGTTTTCATTCAAAACTCCGTTCATATTGGCTGTAAATCCCAAACATCTACCACAACTAAAGAAGTGAAAATGGTGGTGACAAAGCAGTACACATCATCAGATATTCTGTATAAAAGGGAAAGACTCACAAGAGAGTTCATGTAAGAAAATTGTCAAGTGAAATTTGCAAGATATCATATCATAAGGGGGTTTTAGCCATCTGTTCTCTGTCCATTCTAAGATTCAAGGAGTATTCTGTTTGGGTCAGATAAAGGGGAGTTAACTGTTTTCTACCTGTCTCATATTCCTAATTTATTCGCTTCACATGAGTTTTCAGAGTGGCCTTAAAGAAAAACAAAAATGGGGTATATTTTTGTCCCAGTTGTTGAAATTAGAAAGTGCCACTTCAGAGAACCAAGCAGTCATAGAAATGGAAAGCAGGAACAATGGATGTAATAACACTAACTCAGTGATAATGCTACAGCTAGATGAGTGGGTAGGTCAAACAGTGGGTGGTTTGGGATGATCAGGATTAACAAGAGAGACTCTTCTTTTGCCAATCACTAAATCTTGTCAGTGCAGCAGGTGCTGTTTTTTATAAAACAAATATTTTTTACCTTTTTTCCATTAATAGAGGGAGCCGCTATCCTTCTGAACAAAATGGCTGTCTCTAGTTGACTTTTTTAAAAAGAGAGAATAAAAGCATTTCCAAACTTTTTAGTGTCAAAAGTATAAGCATAAAAATACTGACTTTTTCCAGTGTGTGTGGAGAGTGCTGTAACCCTGTCATCATTGGTATTTCCCTTTGACTTTTTCAGGGTTTGGTTTTTTAATTTTATTTTTCAGTTTTGTTATCTGCTTGTCAATTATTGTCTGTGTGGTCCTCAGACTGGGACAGTTACCGACAATGTGTGTCTGTTGTCTGATTTTAAATTTTAAAAAAAGATAGAAGTAGAAATGAAAAAGTTGTGCTTAAAATATATTAAACTAAATGTATTGTCCAAAGGAATTCAAAATATGAAAAGGCAAAGTTCTGGACTCCTCCTCTCAATTTTATAAGGAAATTGACTCTTTAGGCTTTCAGTTGCCTTGACAGGCCATGAAGACCAAACCAATATAGCCTTCTTAACAAATACTGATTTTGTTCTTCTCCCAGTACTATGATACATGGATTACATTAAGAAAGGGCCAAAAATATCAGCATCTGCTGTTTTCTGTGGGTGTCCCTTGCATCCCAGTACCACTTATTTAAATAGAAGAAAATTATTAAAGCATATTTACACACACTTTAATTCCTGTTTTGTACACCTAAACTATTAGTTATTCCTAAACATACCTTCTCCTCTTACCTCTTACTCATCTGCATTGCCATTCTGTGTGCACCCAGTCTTGAAAAGACAGACATAAGCTTAGAAGAATGGGTTTATCATTATTTTCTGTATTTTTGGAATAGAAGACTTTGGCGACTTGTTCAGGTTTTGGCTAACATAAATCTGCACATCCTAAATACATTGGTGAGTCATGTGTTAAATTAATATACTTTAAACTACTTACAAAATAATCTTGGTTAAATTTAAGAATATTATAAAATGCTTCCAAATTGATGTGTTCCACCACAAATCCCTTTGATTCGCTATCAAATGTTCTAGCTGGAATCAATGTTGAAAGTCTTGGAACTCTTGGCTTGTGGTCTCAACCTTGGAATATTCATCTTTATGCAAAATCTTTAGCCAAATATCATTGAAATTGCCTTTTATTTCTTTTCTCCATAGACTCATGGCTACAGTGAAGTCAGGATACTCATCTGGTAAACTCAGGCTTTGGCTTAATATTGTTTTGATTGGACACTTCCAAGAAAGAGATAGACCACAGGCTTTGTTCCTGTCAACACATCCCTTACATATCTGTGATGAATATATCCTAAGACTTCTAGGGCTTACCACAAAGGTTCACATCTTCTTTTGATTCTGTGCAAATAAAGGGATTACATCCTCTTTCTATTCTAGACCTGCCCTCAAACAGACATAACCTGGGTTAATTCATCCTTGCCAAAGCAGTATTGTTACTTTTCCTAGATTAACTTCATTTTGCTTAATTGAATTATTAATGAAGACAGCCCAGTAAACATTTGTGAATTGTCTTCTTACACACACACACACTACAGATGGGGGATCTTTTGCTAGTTGAAAAGTGATGTGTTGCACTTTAATAGAGGAGGAGACAAGCTTTGCATATATAGTCTGACATACTTTGAGTTCTTTCTGGAAGGAGCAGCAGTGAGAGGTAATAGATGTCTGTAATGCAAGTGCGCACGCTGCCTTCGACATGTATGTGTTTTATTGATGGAGTCATGTTACTGACAGGATAATGAATTGCAATGAAATTGTGTTATATATTCAACTTTGCCTTGATAATATAAACACTTTTGTTCGATTTTTTTCTTTTTTATTCACAAACTAAGTTCTTCAGGAAATTATAAAATTATTTAAAAATGGTGTTGTCTGTGCTTTTTTTAAAAAAAAACTTGTCTTTTAATCTTTATTTTTTTTCCAGAAAGATCCTAAAGATTCTTGTTTCAGGATTGTACACATGAGATTAATTATCCTCTTTCCACACCCATATGAAGAGGCTTCATTGCTTCCAAAGGACTGCTGAGTTTTGATGGAAACATTTCAGGAAGGAATTTGGGGAACAGCCACCCAAAACTGCCTTTCATAGTAGTCTGACATGGTACAGGTTTCAAAATCCACTGGCTGACCATAGATCTCACAATGGGCCATTTCCTTTTTTGGCAGCAGATGGAACTCATTGTGTCTTTATAACATCCTCATCTTAGCCCATATACCTAGTTTTAATTTGTTTGGGATCTCTTTTTAGCCTAATGCAGGATCTGTATAGCAACATTCAAATAAAGTTTCTGAAATACGTAACATTCCCATTCCTACAACTCACTTAGAATACTAAAAGTATTCCCCAGTTAGCAAAGCCTCTGATAACGAAGCTCCTTTTTACCAAGCTTTTTATGTCATCCTGCAGTACATTTTGCTATAATGTTTCAATGAACATCTCATAGAGCAGGCATGGGCCAATTTGGGCCCTCCGGGTGTTTTGGACTCCCAACTCCCACAATTCCTAACAGCCTCAGGCCCCTTCCTTTTCACCCTCAGCCACTTAAGCCTAAGGCTGTTAGGAACTGTGGGAGTTGGAGTCCAAAACATCTGGAGGGCCCAAGTTGTCCTATGCCTGATCTAAGTTCATTGTGTGACACCAAGTTTTTTAGCCATATCAAAACTAGGAGGGTGGTGAAGGAGGGCTAGAAAAACAGATAACTACCCCTCCGGTGGGCTAAAGCTATGTGTAAATTTCTATATTTGGATACAAAATTAGAAATCATAAATTCTCCCTAATGCATTTTGAAAGAAGGTGTTCTCTAGAAAGGTCAAAATATTTAGGTATGCAATGGTTAATGAAATGTTTGCAGAAACATGTTGACCTGCTCTTCCTTTTTCTATAGTATAGGAACTTATATCTAATCCTTACATATTATTCCTCCCTCTGGTGCCAACTTTTCTCAAAGCAGTAATACCCAGAAATATATCTACTTTATTAGATGCTACCCCTCTATTCTGCCTTGGTCAGACCACACCTAGAATACTGCATTCAATTCTGAGTACCGCAATTGAAGGGAGATTTTGACAAGCTGGAATGTGTCCAGAGGAGGGCAACTGAAATGATCAAGGGTGTGGAGAACAAACCCTATGAGGAGCAGCTTAAAGAGCTGGGTATGTTTAGCCTGAAGAATAGAAGGCTAGATGGCCATGTATAAATATATGAAGAGAAGTCATAGGGAGGAGGGAGCAGGCTTTTTTTCTGCTGCCCTGGAGACAAGAGCGTGGAACAATGGCTTCAAACTACAGGAAAGGAGATTCCACCTGAACATTAGGAAGAACTTCCTGACTGTGAGAGCTTTACAGCAGTGGAACTTTCAGCCCTGGAGTGTGGTGGAGGCTCCTTCTTTGGAGGCTTTTAAGCAGAGGCTATATGGCCATTTGTCGGGGGTGCTTTGAATGTGATTTTCCTGCTTCTTGGTAGGGGGTTGGACTGGGTGGCCCATGAGATCTCGTCCAACTCAGTGATTCTATGATTAACTGAAGACCACCTGCTTTTCATCCTACAGTCCTAATTGATCTTATATTATTTGAGTTGCGTTTCTTTATACTCATTCTATCAGTGGCAGTTGTGTCTACTTTTTCCATTTCTCACATGCAAGAGCATTGTAACCTTTTTGTCCAGAACCAGAATTGTTTTGCTTGGACATTTCTTGTGATTTGATCTAGAAAATTTCACTGTTGCCTTAATCTGTGCTGAAGAAGAAGAAATAACTAAAATTTACCAAACTAATACAAAATAGGGGGCTTAGAGCACTTGCATCTTTCGTAGTGACAAGCCATAATATTCCCAACTCCTGAATATGTAGCGGACAGGATCATCTGCTACCGGCCAGGGAAAGTCAAGTGTTAGTTCATCCCTCCTTAGGATAAGATGCATTTGATCCTCTTTTAGAGTCAAAACAGAATGAGAGATATCTGGATTCGCAAGACTGGGCTTGCTGTGCCCTGCAGTGAAAGCAGCATACCTCTGTCAGCTAGCTGGACAGAACTATGTTAGTTAAATATAATGTTCATCCAAATGTGCCATTTTGAAAGCACAGGGAATTGCAGTTTTAATTTGCTCATTGTAAATAGTTGACCCGCTGCAATTCAAGAATCATCCACCAAGCAGTGGAAGTGCAGCTTCATAAATAGCGAAAGATGAGCCACCCCCAAAATTGTCTCCCTAAAAGGGATACTTTGAGTCATAGTTTGGAGAGCCAGCAACAATGACGTTGTTTATTCTACATGGCAAAGGGGCCAAATCCCTTTCATGCATTATCAGGTTACCATTTATGAACAAGAAAGGGAGAGGAAAATGTCTCTAGTTGAAACCACCTGCACGTAAAATGGGGTAGTTGAAATTTGAAGGAAACGGGCACTTGAACAGTGCTCATCTTTGTGAGATGGTTTGGACAACACACCATTCAACATCATGGTTGTGTCGGGATTTGAAGTGTAGCTTTTCTGATTCATGTTTCTACCACATCATGCTGGCTCCAGTGAGTTGCTTTGGAGTCTCAGTGACAGAGACTCCAAAGCAACTCAGTAATTTTATTTATTGTATTAAGAAGTTTGTGTACTGTCTCATCAGCATCAGTTTTCAGAGTGGTTTATAAATAAAAGCCATGACAAACTTAAATGGAATCAAAACCTCAGTTGAAAGCAGCATTTAAAATGATCCAAAAGTTCTTTAAATGGCTTTAAAACAATATAGGACAATTAAAGTTCATTGTGTGACACCAAAAAATATTAGTAGTCAAAGTGCCAGACAAGCTGCATTGGAAAGAAGACTGAAAACACTATTACAACCAGAAATGCACCCATGTCATCATCCAGCAGACTTCAGAGGAGACCATCATCTATTGGCATACCATATGAGCAAGCTGATGCAAGAACTAGCATTTCTTTAGGTACTTAGTACTCAAGCCATAAAGGGCTTTGTTGGTTGAGCCAGGCAGACTTTAGCTTACAGGATCTATTATAATATGGAGTCCACATTTTTCATAGACTAGGACTGCAAAATGGAGCAACCATGCCAAACAAAAAATAGCTATTTAAGGCACATCTATGCCAGACTTCGCCAATGTTGTGCTCTCGGGATATTATGCGGTATAATATATGGCCATATCGCTAGGAGATGATGAGAGTTGCAGTTCATCACATCTGGAAAGCATAAGGCTTGAAAAGACTCTTAACACACATACCTGGCCAAAGTGTTGCTTTAAGTTACCAAATTTTAGGTTATTCTTGTTCCACTCGCAAACCTACTTTTCATCCCCCATTTCAGCAGCCTGAAACAAGATCTTGCCAGTAAATCCTGACTACCTTCTAAGTGCCAACACCTTGAATTTAGCTTGGAAATTAATTAAGAAGCAAGTCGCCATTGAGGTACCTAATTAAAGAGGCAATAAACCCATTTTTTGTTTTTTTCCCTTACATAGTAATGGCAGAAAATAGTATGGACATGTTCACTAAATACACAAGAGTCTTTACTATATACTAAAAGGGTGAGGAGTCTAGTTGAGGCACTGTGGCTTATCTTTGTTGACATCATGATGGATAACCACTTGCATATCTCTGTTACTCATTAGCTTGGAAATACAACCCACTGACTTAGAGTACATTCTCGGGAAGCAACAGCAAATTTGCTTGAGACAAACCTTTATTGCTGATTCCCTGGCTGTTTCGAACTTTTAGAAAAAGAGGTAGGAAAGAAGCCATCCTTTTGTATTTCAGCGCATTGACCAATTATTTATGGAATTTCTCTTGTTTCAGTCTGACAGTGATATTGCAAAGATTTGCTTGTAGGTCTGGCAATGCCAAATAGCAAATATTGTGAAAGTGCGGCTTTAAAAGGAGTATAAACATATCCTATTGATAACATGGTGGTGATGTCCAGGGATTAATTCTCATCCTTTTATGTGGCCAGCTTATAAAAACAGCAGTGAGATCCATGAATAGATGCATTCAGATTTTGAATACCAGAAGTTTTGAAGATTTTGTCCACAGATTAAGGTGTTTACTATCTAAATGGTATTTATGGAATGTGAACATCCTATTGAAAGGTGAATATATCTCTAAACTATAGAAAAAAGTGCAAAAGTACAAATAATCACAAGCAAGTAGAATTTGCAATTTTTATTTTATAACTATCTAGTGTCCATCAATGTCCAAAAAGATAAAATTCTGCAAAAACAGTAGACAGTGATTCATGTTCGCACCTGAAAGATTAATGATACAGGCTAGATCAAACTGTCAAAATACAAATAATGAAAAGGAAGGGTGGGATGCACACACCTTACATAGTACCTAAGTCTCTAGTTGATACTTGAGTTATGGTTGCTTTTGCATTCATTTGACTCTTGATGGCTTTGACAACTGAAATCCTCAAGTAACATTCTTGCCTTCTGACATGGCAAACAATCAAAATGTTAAGAAATCTGAGGCTAAATTAAATTTGGAAAGGTTGGTGTTGGTGGTGATTAGTGTACTATATCTCTGCCTATTAACAAAAAAAAATCTAAAACTTCCACTCTGAACATGTCTCAATTAACTTCATTGAAGTTTTGTATACCATGGTGCTGAAGCACTCTTGACATAAGCAGTTAGGTAACCTGGAGAGTGTGCTGCTTGGTTAGATACTAAATCTTTACACTGATTCACATTAATACTTCCATCATGATTTCAATTCATAGAGCACAACTTTAAATCCTTGCTAGAATCCTGCCACATTAATTTTAACATTGGACTCTGGATGCAATGGTAGCTTGCAGAAGTTTTGAGACCTAATGAGAGAAAGAAAGTGGTAGCATAAACTTTCGTATACTTCTTTATTATGTTGT